TTGTCATTCACTTGATCCTTCATTTATCTCCACATTCATTCACTCATTGATTCTGTCACCCTTTCAATCATTCATTATCTCACTCAAGCATTCACATACACACTCACATGTTCACATACACACCTACAGAGCATTTATTGAACAAAACCCTTCTAGGTACACAGAGGTTCAAGACCTGGTCTCTTTCCAGGCATCAGGCTGAAAAAACCAACCAATTTTTGGCTGTAGTCCCTTCACTTCCATTTCCCTGTCTTTTTCATCTCCCTCTTTTCATTCACCTTGAAATCCACTGAGTTTTATCTGGGAATGAAGAACCAGAACTGTGTCTGGTGCTGGGTGTGAGCTCCCCATACTTTTGAGACTCTCAGGGGCCCTGGGTATAGGAACACTGTTCTCAGCACTTTCTTGCTAAATGGTAAACAGATTCAGTACATTTCATGGACAAAGCCAATTGAAAGCCAACAGACCAAATTACAGAATTCATTCCACATTGAGGACTAGAAACTGAAACTCCAGCGGGAAGCTCACTTTTCCTGCAGGGTCTGCAGATCTAGGAAATAACAAAGAGTGGCCAACCATTCCATTATTTATAATTTCCTCCAGAAAATATTTACTGAGTACCTACTATGTGCATGAAACCACATGGGGACTATGAAAAATGATTCAGACAAGCTCCTCCCAAGAAACTGATACTCTGGGGGTGGGTGGGATGTTTGATACCTCCATCCATTGCCTAATGTAGAGCATGACTTGAGCATCCTGAGAATAAACCCTATAAAAGATTTAGGAATTTAGAGATGGGTGAAGTCACTTCTCTCTGGGAATTGGAGAAGCCTTCCTGAATGTGGAAAGAGCTAAGTAAGGTCTTGGAATGTGGGTGGAATTTTAACTATTAGACAAGGAGGCGGGGGAGAGTAATACAGAAGGATGGGCAAAGATACAGAAACAGGTTATCCCAAGGCACAAATGCCTCTACCTGTGTAGGTCTATATTCCTTTTTGTGAGAAATAAGCCAACCGCCATTTCCAAGGCACAATGACTTTCCAAAGGTCCTTGAGTCTAGGATGGTATGAAGGCAGGGCTACTGCTTCTCTCTACCTCTCTGCCTCTTCATGGCCTCCTAGATCTCTCCCAATTGCACATGCTGCCCCAATGAGTAGATCCCCAACCCCAGCCTCATCAAGAACCTTCTACTTGCATAAATTCTCCATGGTGCTAACTGACCTACGTGAGAGGGTACCAGTCTTATATTTGTCTCCAGTTTGCCACATGGCCTCAGAAAATGCGTTTAACAGCCATGAAGTTCAGTTTGCCCATCTACCCAAAGAGCAGTCCAGCAATCCCAAATTCAGCCCTTCGTGTAGGTTCTGAATGCTTTCACTGGGTGGTGGGAGAACTGCTAATCCAGCCACCCTTGCCATGTGGATTATTTCCTGACAGGCAAATCTCCATAGAGATGGCCTTGATCTGGAGCTGTTCTCCCTGAATTCTTTCCCTCTACAGGCTCAGCAGCTGTACCAGCATCATCATCCTCTGGTGACCCCCAACACCCAGCCCTTCTCACTCACCCACACATTTAAGCACAAAGGAGCATCCTTGATGTTATAAGCACGTACAAAACTACTGGAGCTAGAAATTCTGCCAGGGTCTGGATGCAGAAGCTAAAACTCTAAGTGGGACTTTTCCCATTCTTAATTAAAGACAGATTTAAACAGAGAGAAGGGCAGGAAATTAAAGCGAATGCTTTTATTCAGTGCCATAGCCCTTACATTACTTTAGACTTCTGCTACCTTCAGGAAGTTCTCCCTAAACTCCGGAATTGGCTTAGTATGTCCCTTTCTCGGCACTAGCCACATAGAGCTTTTGTCCTTTTTTATGTATGTTTCCAAATTATATATTTGAAACATGCGAGGTACTCGTGGATATTCACTGAGCAGGCTACGGTGTTTGCAGGACCAGCCACAGAGTAGAGGTCAGTGGGGACAGACCAGAACCTGCCTGCCTGGATTTTTGTTTGTTTTATATCGATGTTTAATTTTTTAACTTAGTAATTGTGCATATTTTATGTAAGAAAATGTCATTTTTCTTAGGAAAAGTACACTGAAGTACTTTGGGGTGAAAGTTCACCCAATGTTGGGAAGAAATATGTTATTCTTATATCACCTATATATAAAACACATTTTTCTTTCCAGAAATCATTGTATCTTTTTAACACGGATGTTATGATATCACATAAGAAAATGTATCAGTGTATGTCTGCCTGGGTTTTGAGTCCTCTTGATCCAGGGCTGGAAGAGGGCTCTAGAAATGAGCTGCTAGGGCTCTAGTGACTGCTGTCAGGGTGGTCTTACTCTAGACGTGTGGAAGTCCTCCATACAGTTGTAAATTCAATAGTGGCTAAAATTTGCTGACCACAGATTATGTGGCAGAACTTGCACTGAGCATTTGATTTGCATTATCCCTGAAATCCACACAACACAATAGCTATTTTAAGATGGTAACTACTACTATCCCTGCTTCACAGTTGAGGAAAACAAGTCTTAGTCATACAGCTACTAAGTAGAGGAGACTGGATTTGAACCCAGCAGGGAGACAGATCCCTGAGTTGAAAATCCCCACCACTCTCTTCCAACTACTTCTAATTAGATCTGAGCCTGTTAGCTCAGAGATCCAAGCAGCACTGCTAAGAGCATCCACAATAAAAAGCTTCAAATTTGAGAACCGAATGGAACCTGACAAAATGTCTAATGTACCTTCCTCTTTTGACAAGGGAAAAACCAAGCCCCTGAGGGGGAAGGGACCCTGCCAGGATGCCATCCTGACCACTAGCCTCTCCAACCGGTTTCTGAGCTGCCTTCCTTTGTAGGAAATGTCCTTTGCCAACTAGCATTCCACCTACCAGGATGGTAAGATGAGACTCTGCCATGGGGCATGTGCCTGGGGGGATGCAGACAGCGACAGCCAGTCCATGTAGGGCATGTCTGTCCCAGAGGCTTGACCACTCAGGGGTGGGGTAGCTTGTCCTGGTGGCGCACCCAACAGCCCTGGACCCACCATGAGCTCAAACAGATGCTGTGACAGTTCAATGAGGAAAAACAGTAAAAGCACTGTGCTGGACACACAGGAGGGGCTCACTGAAAGCACACCCCCGCTTTTCCTTCTTAGAATTTTGAAAGAGAAGCAAAGAACATTGAGCATTGGGAATTGTTCGGGAATACCCAGGGTGACCTGGAATTCTGTATAGAAAGGGGATGGTGGATGATATCTGCGTAATGTCCAAGCATAATGTCCTCTTAATCTTTGGTCAGTGCTATGTGAGGAGCTCTGCTCTACCCTTCACATCCTCACAACCCCCTCCCCTGAGTCCCTGGCTGCTGCAGTCCACACAGGGTGTTAGTGAGGTCCTCCCTCTACTTTTTGCATATCCGGTTTCCCATCGCAAGCCAGTATTCTCATCCATTTTATGGAGAAGAAAACTGAGGCTTCGAGACTTGAAGTAGCTTGCGTGGAGTGACAGAGAGAGGGAGAGTGGGAACCAGATGAACACCCACCCAGACTCCTCTGGTCTCCAACATCTTTCTGTGACACCTAGCTGCCTCCCTGGAGTGCCACAGGCATGGAGACTATTTTAAGACAGCCCTTGCGATGCTTGTCCCCAAAGGATTTGGGGCTGAACTTGTCCCCAGTCAAGCAGTATCCAGGGATCTGTGAGAAGCAGGGCTTTGAATGCCTTAAGTCTGGACTTGTAGACCTGTCCTGCGCAGGACTTGTTAAAGGGCAACCAGTCGCTTCTCTTATTGTTCCAGGCTGCAAATGCCAACCAGCTTCATTACTTATGATCTTCACACAGAGATCTTGTTTCTTAGTATTTAGACAGTCTTATATATATCTGGGGGATGGGTCAGATGCTTGGACCCTTCCAGGACAGAGAGGGATGCAGAATCCCCTAATCAGTCGGGCCAGACCAGCCACATCCTAAGAGTAGACTCATTGGGTATCCGGGGTCCACCATTATCCTAACACAGATCACTGGCTGGCATAAGGGGCAGGAGTTCTAAGCCTCACCTGTAATCAGATTTGGGGCTCCACTGGCAGAATCTGAACCTTTAAAAGTGTCAGTTACTTAAAACCCTTCCACCACTCACAACAGTATTTGAATATTAAACAAAACAAAATCCACCGCTTTTTTTCCCCCCTGACTACATCTGGTCTCTATATTCCAACAATCAACTTTGTAACTGCTGGAGAGCAGGCCTGCATCATCCCTCATGGCGCAACACATGTTTGCCCCAGCTTCCCCAGAACCCACTTGACAACTCTCCTGCTGGTGAGACTGGGCATGTCTCAGTCTGGAAACGGCAGCTACAGAACAGGGTCTAGGCAGGAGGGATTCAAGGATATTATGCTTTCTAATCCTTGATGCCAGCTCACTTCTCTGCCTCGATACCTTGACAGTGTCCTCAGCTCCCTCCCCACAGTGTCCAGAGCAGAGAAGCACCCTCCTTTGATGCCCTCGCTCTGAATGACTCCCAGAGCCACCAAGATATGAGCTCTGGGAGTTTTACCACCTGGCAGTAGCTGATTCCTTTTGGCTTGCAGAAGATTTTGAGGGGTTGGGGGTGTTAGACCGAGCACGCTCTCATAGATGATGGATTCCTGGGTCTGCGCTGGCATTGCAGCCATGGAGGAGTATGTGAGCACGCCTGCTGGGTGCCCACAGTGGCACAAATGCCAACCAACATGGGACTAGGAAGAGCTCCCCAACATTTCCATCCGGACAATTGAGCCGACCCCACCTGTGAATCTGCCCCAAGAGGGGTCCAGTGGCCCCTGGGGCCAGAGCCACTCTGGCACTCTTCCCGCTGGTTTCTTACTCCTTGGGATACAGGAATCAGGCTCTCCTCATGGAGAGGGTGTTCAGGCAAAGGCAGACAGGTCGCACACCCCAGCTCAGCACCCCCAAACCCAGTCAGGGGAACAAAAGGAAGAAGGTGGCTTACCTTTAGAGGGTCGCCTTTGTTTGGTTTGCAGAGATGAGAAGGTGCCCATGACAGCCCCCATGGCAGCGAAGACTTGCTTGCGACTTGGGACCCGGGGCCCTGCCCCTTCCCTCCCCTCCCCTGGAAAGAAATCAGTGTGGATAGACTACTCCGAATTGGAGGAGGAAGAAAAGCACCCGGCGGCTCGCCTGCAGCTTGGTATTCAGCGAGCGTGGGGCTGGGGCACTGGGAGCCTTTCTTTCCTACAGCCCCGCACATGCACTGACTCACAGGGCCAGCCGCTCGCGGCGAGCCTGCGGAACCGGGCCCCGCCGATACCCTCGCCAAGGGCCGAGGACAGTGCCCCGAAGCCTGCCAGGCGCTGGACAAGGGGCCGGCGCGCCCGCCCGGCCGAGGCTCCCGAGCGAGCGCCGCGTGCGGTGCGGGAGCCGCGCTCCGCCCGCCCCTCCTGCCGCACGCTCGACTCCCCTCCCCGGCGCTCGGGCTGGGTCTCCCGGGGCCGAGTACCAATCATGAATGAACAGAGCCGCGGACCGCGCTGAGCCGAGCGCAGTGGAGCTGCGCGCCCGCCCGCGTTCAGGGCCAGTCTGAGTGGCGCCCAGAGCCGCCGGCGGGTAACCACCAAGGGGCGGGGCGGGGGACCGGGGCTGCACGAGGGACACCCCTGCACAAATCGGGGTGCTGAGCTCCCAGACACACAGACCTGGGGTTTAGCACCTGGAGGGTGGGTGGAGAACAGGGGGCAGCAGATTGCTCCCAGGAGAACGTCGTGTGTGTGTGTGTGTGTGTGTGTGTGTGTGTGTGTGTGTGTGTGTGTGTCTGTGTGTGTGTCTGTGTGTGTGTATGCGCGCGTGCACGTGCGTGTCCCTGTGTGTTGTGCATTATTTCACTTGACTTAAAGGGAAATTTTATTTAATCCATCACCTGAATTTACCGAGTGAGAAAAATGCCAGCCCCACCCAGCCCCACACCCAGCTGTGAAGGAGGGTGCCCCTTCTGCTCCTCGAATGCCAGGGCCACCTTCTAAAAACAAAATATTGGGGAGGCAGTAGGCGCCCTTGGCTACTCTGGGCCCTGACTTTCTCTTTTTCCTCTTCTTCCCTCCCTCTCTCCCCGCTCCTCATTCTCCTTCCCCCCAGTCACCACCATCACAAGAATTTATTAACCTTCAACTCTGGGGTAGGGTATGCAGGAGCAATGGCTGAATTTAGGAAGTGGTCTGTCTGCTCTGAATTCTCATTTCATCACACAGGCCCCATGTTGGTTTCAGGACTTCTGCAAATGGGCTAAGTTTGGATCCACCCCCTGTGGATTGCCTCAGCTGATAGGGGCAATCAGCTGAAATGCAAGGTTTATTCCCTGAAAACCTAAGCAGGCGTTACACCTCCCCCAAGACATAGCTGCCTGGGTTTTCCCCAGATACCATGTTTGCAGGTCACAGGGCTCTCCAACATATGGCTTTACAAATACTCACGTATACATAGTTACACAAACATATGGACACAAGTCCCTTAAGCCCACGCAGACTCTGACGTCATACACACAGACTCACAGCCCGTAAGACACCTACAGGTGCATTCATAGGCTTCCCCATAAGATGCAGACCCACAAGCACACAGGTAACCCCTCACCTCTACACACATGCATAGTCAGCACAAAAGGCATCATAGTCACCCACATTCCTACAGGCTCAAAGCCACACAGGCACACAGTCATACCCCACAGATACAGGGCCCCTCTGAAGCTGTTCCCCTCATTTCAACCCATTAGCTGAACTTTTAGGGACACAGCTGCCCTTGGCCAGGGCCCTTAGATCATTTTCTTTATCTATTTGGCACTTAATGCTGTCTTAATTCCCAACACATGTCTTTCAGTGCACAGGGGAGGTACGCTTAATAACACAGCCCGTTTCATTCAGTTTGCTGCCTAATCCACATCACCGCATACTCTATGGGTTGGGCAAATTCTGTCTAATAGTCATCAGAAAGAGAGACTGAGGTTTACCAGGGGCAAGAAATTTGTCTGGAGTTAGTCAGGATGTAGAACTCCAACTGAGATTCCAGGGCTCTGTCATGCTTCATGGATGCCTTCCTGTTGGCAGATGAGGGCACTGGGGGCCACTGAGTTGGCGAGATTGTCCGGGTCCATTCAAAGCCACAGTTCAGGTCTTGTATATACCCACGTGGCCTGTGATCCTGGAGGATGGAGCGGTAATGGTGGGGGTTGTGCCTCACCTCCCTCTTTTGCCTTCCCTGCTTGGGAAGAAGGGTGTGGAGGGGGTGATGCTGATCACAGGAGGGTCAATGAAGAAGGTCAGGAATCAAGGGACAAGGAGTCTTTTCTGGGGGGGGTGCCATTCCCAGGCTCTCAGATGGCACTGGATGGAGCACCAAGCCGCTTCACCCTCAGGGCCCTACCAGGCTCCACATGAATTAAATGACTAGGACCAGCACTTGAGATTTATAGTCCTCTTGAGAAGCTAAGTAGAGATGAACTGCTCCATTTTACAGATCAGAGACAGTGAAATGCCTCTGAAGTCATTATTGACTAGCTGCCTTTGAGCAGTGGGAAAAAAAGTGAAGTCACCAAGATAAAGTCCAAACTGTAGAGCATGAATTATGAAGCCCATTTGAAGCTTGGCTTCATCTACCAATCCCTGGGCTCCCTGCCACTCCCTTTGAGGCTCCAGCCACACAGGACCTCACTGTTTTTCAAATGTGCTCTTCCGTGGTTGTGCTTTGGGGCCTTTGCACATACTGTTCCCTTTACCTAGAATGTCCCTCACCTCTTTCTCCATCTGCCAGCTGCTGCTCACACTTGGAAATCTACTTCAGTTGTTGTTTCCAGGAACCCTCTGGCCCTGAGTTGGTGTCCCCCTAGGGCTTCTCACAGCATTTGGGGCTCCTTTCCTTGGGAACACTCCACTGTCCCTTTCCTTGTCTGTTTCTTCCTAGCAGTTGTGAGTCCCTTAAGAATAGGAACCACTACTCATTTAGTCCTACACTGCTTATCCCCTGGTATCTGGTGGGGGGCAGTCAGTCTATGCTGAGTGAACAAATAAGTAAATGAATAAACTAATTTTATTTTCTAGTGACCCCATTAAACAAAAACTGACAATTACCAGATCATCCTTGCTTCTCAAAGGAAGAAGTACACTCTCTGAAGTAGAGATTTATTCATTCAACAAATATTTATCTGTCCGTATGTCTCCCATGCACCGGTTATTTACAGGTGCAATAGCTTGCTCATTCCTGATGGTGTGTGTGGTGGAAATGATGTACAGATAAACAGGCGTACACACAATGCACTATATGATATTGCAGACATCACAAAGAAATGCTCTCAAAGAACTCATCTAAGTAGGAATACATGGTAATTGAGAAAGAAGACAGCAGACTCCCCCCTCCCCCGATTTTTGGGGCTTGCATCAGAGAGCTGAGACGTGTTTTGGAAGAAGAGGGAGCCTACCACCAGCCACCTGACTGCAGGGTCCTCTGTCCCACTGCCCCGGAATGATGCACTGACCCAGCCCATTTTATGGGGTCCTTCCAACCTGGGCTTCAGTGGCTCTGACCCTGGAAGGTGGTGCTGCATGCCAGCTCTCAACCCTTCCTCCTCCTTGCTCTTATGGATGGGATGTTGGTGTCTACCCTGCAAAATTAATATGTTGAAGCCCTAACCCTCCAGTGTGGCTATATTTGGAGATGGGGTCTGTTAAGGAAGTAATTAAGTTACTTCCTTAATAAAGGTTGCTTTGAGGGTTATTTCATAAATAAAAATAGGGCCCTGATTCAATAGGATTAATGTCCTTAATGTACTTATAAAAATGGACATAGAGAGGCCACACTCCCATGCAAATGACAAAGGAAAGGCCATGTGCGTGCAGAGTGAAGAGAAGGCAGCCAACTGCACCCCAAGTCAAAAGCTCTTGCCAGACTCCCACCCTGCTTGGCATCTTGATCTTGGACTTCCAGCCTCCGTAATCAAGAGAACATATACTTTGGTTGTTCAAGCCACCAAATCTGTTTCACACTCCCAACACACACTCCCAGCACCCATAGGTGCCCTCAGAAGACTCAGGGGGCACAGTTTTGTGTTTCCCATGATGTGAGCATCCACCTCCTAGGGTGCCCCCACAAGGCTGTTCTGAGAAGAAGGGATGAGACTATCAGAGGCCTCCAGGAATCCTGTTACAACATGCACTATGTTTATGTAACATACAAGCCATGTTTATTCATTTCCTCCATCCCTCCCTCCTCCTGGCTCTTTCCATCGAAGATTCTTCCCATCCTTGTGGGTAAGGCAGTTCACTGAATTCCCAGCACACATGAGGGCAGCAGTGTAGAATAAGAGCCTGGATCTGGGTTGGGGGCAGCTAGATCAAGGTTCAAGTCCTGATTATGCCCCATATTATATGCATGACAGAGTCTGATGAGCACTTTCTCTGAACCCCCTCTCACCTCTGTAGGCTGCATGAGTCCCTGACTCATTGTTGCTGTCAGGAGAGGGAAGCTCATGTCTGCAAGGCCCTTAGTAGGTGCCTGGCACACAATGTGTTGGGTGATGGCGCCTAGACAATACTGCCACCACGGCCACGGGCCTGGCATCGTGCTGCCCTGGGGCGGTGTAAAACCTAGTCAGCCACAGCCTTTCCCCTGGCTTCCGTCTTTGCTCTTCATCTGTTTTATAGGAAGTCTATTCTCAGGGTCCCCATCTGGTATTAAAAGACTCAGATTAGTTAAGGAAGGGAATGTGGTTGGCACCTGATTATGTGCAATTCAGCACTACTCTAGCTGCTGTCTTGTACCATTTCCCAAATGTTCCGCCTGCACAAGTCTGGCCTCCTCAAATAGACTGTGAGCTTTTAGACAGCAAACCATATACTTCCCTCCCAGACCAATCCACCACAGCTTGGTCTGGCCAGGACATTTAAGGGCTCCACAAATACACTGAGATGGATCAGGGTAGGGAAAGGACACCATCCTTCAGGCCTGGGTTCAAGCCACCTTCTTTTACTAACTGTGCATGTGGGCCTAGGGGAAGAGTGGTGAGCAGGACCCTTCAAGGGTTGGTATGAGGGTGGGGTCGGATGACACAAAGGGAAAGTCCTTTGTTTCTGTGAAGCACTCTGCAAATATCCTTTATTATTATTCACTCATAGGCTCATTCATTCATTCATTCATTCATTCAACAAAATATTTGTGAAGCGCCTTCTACCTGCCAGTCGCTATTCTAAATCATGGCTCAGAATTGAGCAAGAAGAACAGCAAGCATCCTGGCCCTCAGGTTGTTGGCCATTTAGGACTAAAGACAATCAAATCCTCTCATCACCACAACTTGTATCAGGCTAGAATAGAAAGAGAGGGCAGGAGAGTTTGGGCTAGGGTGGGAGAGGGAGTGCTCGGAAAAGCCAGGTAGGAACCTTTGCAAACTACCAAGTGACGTCCTCAGTACAGAGAGATCTGCAGAGGGCAGGGAAGTCAGGTTTCAATGCAGGCTTTGTTTTGCGATCTTGAGCAAGTTCTTTAACCTTTGAAAGCCTCAGTTTCCGCTTATCTATTTGTGAAATAC